GTGATGATTCTCAACACCATGGACACTTGTGAAAAGCCCTCAGGAGACGGTGGCTTAACTCTTATCCATAATGGAGAAGATGTGAAATACTTGGAGAAAGATAAAAATAGGCACCTGCAGCCACCACGAGGCACAGACTATTAGAGATGGTTTGAAGATTTGTTTTCGTCCAGTTCCGGCTTTTTCTCTGCCAGAGTGACAGTTAGGCTGCCGATTACGCTGTACAGTTTTGCTGCATCAAGAAAACATTATCCAAAAAAAGGCTCACGTCCAACAAGAGTGCACCATGTTGAAATAACAAAGAATCTAGGGAGAGAATTTCAAAACTGTAAAGCAACTCATAGGTGGTATAATTGAGAAGTGGCTGAATCCTTTTCCGAGACTGGCAGCTATTTGCACACTAACCCAGTGAAGTTCGTATGCTGCATATTGTTTGTACACTAACACTTGGGGTCATCTACACGAGAAGCCATTGTGACAGTCAGGAGCACAAACATTGTAGAGAATATCTTCCTGAGTGATAAACTGTCTAACTTTTAAAATGTCTTCAGAGGACATTGCTCAGAATAGCCCTGACTGATTCACTCCAGCAGCCTTTATCACTTGTCAATCAATAAATCATTCAGTCAGTCATCAATCAATCAATCAGAGCTAGATACTCTCATAAACAATCACTTTAGACCTTTTGCATCTCATCAAATAGTGAAATTCTGAAGAAATACCAAGGAGTGTGTGTGTGGCGGGCGAGGGGGGGATTGACATGTAGTCGCTAACATGATATTTTCCAAACAAGAATTTAATAAAAAGAATACAGGTGCTTAATAAAAGAAATTATAAGTTGAGTAAAAAGGCAAATAGAGATATATTTCCTATTAACGTATAGTCCTTTCCAATAATTAAGAAATAGGATCTTCCCGATATATTTCTGCCTGTGCAGACAGAGTGACACAAGTCACAGACACGCACACACACTCAGATAGACACGAGAGCATGCACACACACACGTATGTATAAAACTACCCTTTTATTTTATGGATGCTAAACCACCATTCACTCTTTGCATTATCAAAAGTTGATAGATTCTGGAGGGGCAACTAGACATTGTTTTAACTTGGGACAGTCCCCTGTGTAGCCACTGGCTGCTAATCTGAGGGATTTTAAATCAAAATTCAATTGTAAAACCTTGGTTAGGAAAGAAACTTGGGTTTCCAT